CCTACATATATATGGTGGCCTCAACAACCTTTTAGATAGTTGAGTTACATACTCAAATATTTCTAAGTATTGATGTGTAAATTTAAGTTACTTGCAACCTACGTTTTATCAATGTATGGCATACAATAGTTAATTGTGCTTCTTAATTTTGTCCCAATTTCTGAGGTAAGACGTATAGTAATTTTTATGGTCGGTGCAACATGACAACTACTTGCCAAACAATATCATCTTTTGGATAACTATCTTTCACTAATTATGAGTTGCATTAGAGTTCTCACAAATGAAGTTACTTTCTTCTTTTGGTATTCATACTAAACTAATCAATGTATCATATTTTTAGTGACTTAAGTTTCCCCTCTTCAATCAAGTGTCCCAATATTCTAGATTTGTCACTTCTTTTGTTTTCTTTTTTTTTTTTTCTAATTAAAGTTCATTAAGATTATATAATTTGGTGTAAATTACGGCTACCCCTGAAGTAACGTCAAATTACGAAACCCCCTCATGTTTTGATAATTACAACCACCTCCCTTAACTATGAATCTTTTTACATGTCCACCCTCAAATTCAACATAATATTCTCGATTCCATTGGAGAAAAAAAAAGTATTTTTTGCACCACAATCTGATATTTACAAGCCAATAGTCACATCTTATGATCATCTTGTTTCAAAATGTGGAGCTCGAATGTGATAAAACACTTACAGACTAAAGAATATTCCACTAAATTTGATACCGGAAATGTGGACGTGTAAGATGATCCATATTTGAGGGATGTAGTTGTAGTTATCCAAACATGAGGGTTTTTTTTTCGTAATATGACCTATCGCATGGGGGTGGCCATAATTTACTATAATTTATGTAATAAGTTAATAATAAACAACAAAAAACCTATTATCATATAAGCTTTCTTGATGAAACGTTGAATTTAAGATATCATGTTATAAATAATCGAAACATAATAAAAATGTTTTATTTTATCTATTATTGCCAAAAAAATAGGGAAAGCGTGTGTATACAGTATATATATATATATAAAGGGTAAATTACAAATACCCCCTGAGGTATGGTCAAATTACAAAAACCCCCTCTTGTTTGGATAATTACATCTACCCCCCTCAACTATGTTTTTTTCTTACACCTCCACCCTTATGGTGCCAAATTCAAAATAATCATCTAGATTCCGTGAAATTTGCTCTAGTTTGTACTCGTTTTGTGTAAAAATACAGTTTTCGATGCAACAAAAACTGATATATACAAGCTAAAAATCACATATTATGATCATCTTGCTTCATAATGTAGAGTTTGAATGAGATAAAACGGGTACAAAAGTGATAATATTCCATATAATCTCGAAGATTTCACTAAATTTGAGGAGTTGAGGGGGTGGTTGTAATTATCCAAACAAGAGGGGTGTTTTTGGAATTTGACCATACCTCAGGGGGGTGTTTGTAATTTACCCATATATAAATGAAAGGGCTAAAAACAAATTTGTAAGAATTGCAGAAAACCCCACTCAAAAGCATGTGTTTTCAGTGTGTGCATTTGGAATGTCAGTTACACAGTTACTTCTCCGAAGCTAATTTTTCCATTTTATAAAATAAAATCACTCTACACACCCTTTGCGAAGCAATATCGCGCTT